AGACCCCTGCCCAGAGATCCAGCGCGTTGACAAAAATCAGGGCGGAGTTTTTTCTCTGATCTCGGCCCCTATAGGGGCCCTCGCTGGGCCTCGGGGCCGTCAGAAATCGACTCGGGATGGAGAAAACCGGTCCTGGGGAAGGGGTCAGGACTTCCGGGGACCGCGCATGGAAAAAGTCACGGCATCGGATCTCTGGGTGCCGAGAAACACCCTGCTTGCCTCCAGGGTGCCCTGGGTTTCTTGGGTGGGAGGGGTGACGTTCCCACACCAAGATCAGCGGACGCCCTGGGGTCTCAGGGTTGGGTTCCCTGTGGAAGGTCTCTTGTGGTCGGGCCCCCACTGTAGATGGGCCAGAGGATAGCGCTGCATCGCCGACACATCTGCGATGCGGCTCGATGTGGAGCTCGATTTCTCCACGCCGACGTCGCCAGTGCCCCGCCGACTTCGGCGATGCATCGCCGATTCGTCGGCGATGTATCGGCGCGATCCTCCGACCCCATCTACTCCGAACCCATCTAGGAGGCCTCTACTAGGATAAGTTTGTTTGTACCGAGTGTTTTTTTGACGGTCCTGGGGCCCAGCGAGTTTCTCCAGATCAGGGAATCGTAAGACTCGAGTGCGCCAGAGTTCGGGTTTGCCAGCGTTTGTTGACGAGCGCGTCGCAGATTTTGGCGCTCCAGTTTTCCTTGGATGTTTGCAGCAAGAGTCCGCGTCAACTTTCAGACTGGGTCTCGTCATTTTTTATGATGGCCCCGTCAGGCCATCCCGAGCCCCCCGAACCCGAGTCTTGCGTCTCCCCGACTAGGGGCCGAACACGGCCGGAAACCCTCGCCGTGTTTTGTCATCACCACACGAGCAGGTCTGGGGTCCAGCACCAATTTCAGAAGCCGGCGCGGGTCTTCGAAGGCTTGTGCTCGTGCATTGCTGTGTGCCCTTCTGGAGGCGCTGCACGCGGGCGATCGTGGGCTGCGCCAACCGGCGAGAGTGGCAGGCTGGACCGGGGTGGATCGCCATGGGCGGGTGTCAGAGGAGGAAGTTCAGAGGAGGAAAAGGTACCCATACCTCTACCCTTCCCTCGTTTTCCCCTTTTCGGGCTTCCTGGGAGGCCCTTTTCGCCACCGCCAGATTCGCCTCGAAATTCTGGTCAGAACGTACCCTGGGATGGGTCCGGGGAGTAGCTGTATCGGTACCTTCTGGTTTCCCCGAAAGTGGTATCGATACTCGATGCCGGTACCCGAAGTCCTGAGGTTTTTGCCGTTCTCGGCCACCTAGGGCCCAATGGCCCTTCCCTTGGGTACGATCTGGACGGGTACGGAGAGCATCGGGACACAGACCGACAGCAGACACTGTCAATTTCCAACAGGAATCAATGTCGGTGTCGCCGCGGACGCTGGTCCAATGTGACACAACGCCGTCTGCCCAACAGCCTCCGCTGTTGGATTCGGTGCTGCTGGGCATTGTGGAGTTTTTGCTCGTCCCCATTGTGGGTGCGCCAATTCGTGGCATCAGGGGCCGTCAACAAAACGGTTCAGGATGAATCTGGGAAACGTGAGACTCGAGTAAGCCAGAATTCGGGTTTGCCGACGTTTGTTGACGAGCGCGTCCTGGATTTTGACGGTCCGGTTTTCGTGGGATGTTTGCAGCGGGAGTCCGCGTCAAAATCCAGATCGGTTCTCGTCATTTTTGTGATGGCCCCGTCAGGCCAGCCCGAGCCCCCCGAACCCGAGTCTTACGTCTCCCAAAGGGGAGTCCCGCAGTCCAGGACCCGCTTACCCTGGGCCCCTCTTCCAACCGGGCCAGCAGACCTCGGGGGCTAAAGAGCGGCGGCGGGTCAGCTGCTTTCTCCTCCTCCTCCTTCTCCTCCTCCCCCTCCTCCTCCTCCTCCTGCTCTTCCTCCTCCTCCTCTTCCTCCTCCTGCTCATCTTCTCCTTCCCCTCCTGCTCCTATTCCCTGGTCCTCCCTCCTCCTCCTGCTCCTCCTCCTGCTCCTCCTCCTCCTCCTCCTCCTCCTCTTCTTCCTCCTCCTCCTGCTCCTCCTCCTCCCCCTCCGTAGCCATTTTGGCACAATATGTCTGCTTTGCGCAAGCAGGGCATGGATACCGCTAGTCCGCGGCCAGTCCAAGCTTTCCAGCGACAACCACGGGTGAGCTGGCACCCCTCCATATCTCCCGTTCGTGGCTGCTCCAACCGAGCGGTCGACACTCGCCCTGTGGTCCAAGGTTCGCTGGCATGGCAGCGGAGGACGGTGCTGGTCGTGGTTCTGTGCGCGCTGGCGGCGGTCATCGCGGACCTGGTGCTGCTGCCCCTGCTGGATGCCAGCGCCGAGAGCAAGCCTCTTCTGCGTCAGGACGATCTCTCTCGAAAAGTACGGTGGAGCGAAGCGCTCGTCGGTGACGCAGAGGAGCCAAGAAGGACGACGTGCTGGCGGTGTCTGGGGCCCGACGTGACGGCAAGCGAGACGTTCGCTTCCCCGCTGCCGACCATGACACACTGGCCCGTCAGCAGGACATGGGTTCCGCGTTCGTCCCAGGCTACTGCCGCCGCTCCCGCTCCTGAGCGACCTCCTGCTGCTTCACCGCGACCTGCAGACGAACCCGACCCTTGGCAAGTACCTGGTGGTGGGCCCTGGCCAACTCGTACATCGGCTTCTGCTGTCGGTGCCCCTCCACCTGGCACGCCGGTGGGAGGGTGTGCCACACATGCGGGGCTCTCGGGTGACCTCCAGGCCTTGCTGGGCAGTTGCATGCAGCCGGCCTCCGCGGCGTTGGCGGAGACGTCGCGCGTGCAGCTCGCCTCCTGTCAGGCCCAGCTGGTGGGGATGTTCCAGGCGCAGCAGGAACACGTCGCCAAGTCGCTCGCGGTTCACGCCCGCAACGTCGCCAAGGTCGGAGAGCGAGCGGACGCCCTCGCCGAGGAGCAGCGACGTATGCGTGCCCAGATCAGCGACATCGAGAAGACGCTCGCCATGGCAGAGAAGGAGATCCCGATCATCGCCTTCCAGGCGCTCGGGGCGTGGGCCAGGTCTCCTGATGCGAGGATATTCTCAGTGGGTGCTCCTGAATGGGTCGGCACCGCCCAAGTTCGAGCTGGTATCACTGACTGGCTCACGGCTGCTGGCCTCGACAATAGCATGGTCCGCCTCGACGCCAATGTCCCCAGCAAGCGCTTCAACGTCGTCGTGGAGGGCGGACTGGACATCGCCATACCTCGTGCACAAGCGTTGGCTCGACACCTGCGCAACCCTGCCGCCCCCAATGGATGGCGCCCTTTCCAGTGCCAAGCGGTGGGTGGTGGTGTCGTCCCGCTCTACGTTTCTCCTGACAAATCACCTCAGCAAGTTCGAATGGAAATTCAAACGCGGCGGCTCGCCAACATTCTGGGCGAGGCGGTACCCGGCCACGCCTTCAGTGCACAGCGTGCACGTGGCATCATCACTTCCCAGGGCGTCGAGCTGGCCAAGCTTGAGATGGGTGAACGACGGGAGTCAGACACCACCATCCGCTGGAACATGGACATGGTCTCGCGACTGGCCATCGACAGGGACGCGATCGCCGAGCAGTTCAAGAAGGCCTTCTCGCTCGAGGGCCGTACCGAGTACCTTTAGCACTTCGCGCTGGTCGCCGTGGCGACCGTCGACTTTGGAGGGTGGATCGCGCGGGCTGCACTTGGTGGTGTGGAACGCCAGGGGTCTGCTGCACTCGAACCCTCGGTTGCCTCGTCGCAAGCTGGCGCTCCTGAGCTTTTTTTTCATGCGCGCGGGCGCCATGATTCTCGTCCAAGAAGTCCACTTCTCGGAGGGCGCACTGATGATCTACTGCCAGCTGCAGCCGCAGCGATACCTCTCATTCCTTTCGGCAGGCCCCTCCCCTGGTGTCGGTGGCGTCGCCTTCTTGGTCCCGCAGTTGGCTACGGCTGCCCCGTCGTGCGCGGCCCCTATCTTCTCCTTCGGCATCGTGGTTCCTGGAAGGGTCGCCGTCCTCAGCGTCGTCGACTCCTCGGCGCAGCGCAGCGTGGAGATCTTGAGCGCGCGCAATTTTGAGTTCTCGGCTGGCGACTTCGCGGCGGTGGAGTTGGCCTGGAGGGATGCTCTCGCCTGGGCCGCGGACGACCACCTGAGGCGCATCTTCGTCGGTGCGGGAGACTTCAACATCGCGGACCGACCTGCTGTCTCCCAACGGTCTCTTGTGGCAGAGGAGGGCCTTGCGTTTGCGCCCTGGTCAACGGTGCCAACTTCGCCAGCCTGCGTGGCGCCGTCTCTTTGGCGCGGCACTGGAGATCGAGGCGCAGTGGCCCGCCCGCTACGACGAGGCCAGCCATCCGCCCTCGGTGGTTGACCGTGTTTTCCTGGGGATTGACGCGCGTGCGATGCTCTCCGTGCCCGCGCGCCTCACGACCGCCTGCGATGCGATGGGGTTGCCGGAGCACGGCCTCAGCGACCGCGCGCCCCTCGCCCTGCAGATCGAGATGGCTCGTCGCGCCCCGCGCGTGGAGCAGGCGATCCCAACGCGCCTTTCCTTTCGCCCGAAGTGCCCCGAGACGTTCTCGCTGGTGATGGCGAACAGCGATTTGGAGGCGGCGACGGTCGAGGACCGTTGGCGCGCCACCAGAACTTGCATGGAGCTCGCTGCCCGTCGGGTTCGAGATAAGCAGCTTCGACCAACTTCGCCCTGAAGGTCAAGGGCGGCAGCGCCGAGACCTCGCGCGCAGGCTTCAAGCCCCTGTCGCCGAGACGCGCCCCTGGCGGCCCGCCTGCCGGCTTCGTGTCCCGCTCTGGCCTCCCACCTGTTGCTTGACAACGGGATAGTGAGCGTGGCGGACTCCAGGGCCATTGGCGAGGCCTTCGACGCGGTCGCGGCGAAGGTGCGCGCCCTGCGCGGGCAGGCGGCCGAGGCTGCCGCGCGGCGGCCCAGCGACCGCGACAGCCCTGCCTGGCGTCGGGTGGGGCGCAGGTCGGCCAGACACGCGCAGCCAGCGCAGCTATAGGTTCCCTGGCGGCAGCGCATGGTGCTCGCTGGTCTGCGGCTCGACTCTGCCCCCTGCGCCTCCGACAATGCCGAGGCCGTTCCCCCGAAGTTGGTCAGCGACTCCGCGGGCATGGCGGGCAGTGTGGCCGAGTGCTGGGGCAAGGTCTTCGAGCGCGCGCCGACCGAGGGGCAGAAGCTGCGGCTCAACCAGTTCCTCGACCGCTTCGCCCCGCAACGCCCTGTGGTGGAGCTACCGCGGCCGTCGCTGCACGCGCTGGAGCGTGCTGCTGCGCGGGCGCCGCCCAGCGCCCATGGGCCTGACCAGCTGCCCTGCGCCGCGTGGCGGCGCAGTCCTGACGTCCTGCGTCACCTTCATGCCCTGATGGAACAGTTCTTCAACGAGGGCGTTGGGCCCCACGACCTCAACTGGTCGATCTTCCTCTGCGTGCCGAGGGAAACTGAGACCGAGGACACCCCCGACACGTGCACTCGAACTGCCTCGACGGTCTGCGCGCTCTCCCTCAAGAATGCTGACGCCAAGCTCATTGCCTCCTGCGCGGATCGCGCTCTCCAGTCCATCGCCTCCGCTGCGACCGATGCGTTGCAGAAGGGCTTCGCTGCTGGGCGGCGATTCGTGGGCCGCGTCCCGTTTCTGGACGCGGAGTGCCACCGCGAGGGTTTCCTCCCCGGGGCTGCTCAGCGTCGACCGATGTTGCTCTCCTACGACTCCCGCCAGGCTTTCCCGCCCCTCTTCCGTGACGTGATCGACATGGTGCTGCCGCGGTACGGCGTCCCGAATGGCTTCCGCAACGTGGTCTCGGCGCTGTGCTGCAACTGCCTCTTCGGGCTCCAGCGCGGCGATGGAGCCGCTGTTCGCCCTGAGGTGTGGCATCATGCAGGGGTGCCCTCTCTCTGGCACGGTCTGGTGCTTGGGCATGGGCGCCCCGATCCGCGCGCTGATCGAGGCGCTGGGGGGCCCTCCTGAGGGCTGCCTCACGGCGTGCGCGGATGACCTGGGCATGCTCATCCGCAACGCCAGGGTCCCCCCGTCCATGGCCTCGTCCATCGGTGACATCGAATTCGCCTTCAACTTGCAGCTGGCGATCCACAAGTTTGCGCTGGTCCCGCGCTGGGCCGAGGTCACCCCCAGCCTGATCAGCGACACCAGCGAGTACCTGGCCGTGCTGGCCCCGCGGTGGAGTGGCTCCCGCATCGACTCCTGTGCCAAATACTTGGGCACGCGCATTGGCCCAGGCATCTCGGAGCAGGGCATCTGGAAGGAAGCGGCGGCGAAGTGGTGGCCCCGTGCTGCGGAGCTGAGTCGCGCGGGAATGGCGACCAGCCTTGCCGCCATCGCTTACAACGTGAATGTGCTCCCCTGCCTCTCCTACCTGGCCCAGTTCTTCTTCCTCGTCCCCGAGATCTGGCGGGTCGAGTTCACGCTGCTCCACCGCCTCCTGCTTTTCCCGCCCTCGTCCATGCGCAAGGCGGACATTCTCTCCATGGGCGCGTGGTGCGGCTCTCCAGCGCCGGTGGGCTTGCTCCCGTACTCAGTCGCCACGCCCCTCCGTGCCGCGGCCCACGCTACGCGTGGCTGGGTGCCTGCGCTGCGCGCTTTGCACGAGGCGGCGGTGCAGCACCTCCCGCTGGTGCGTGTACTTCGGGGCGCGTTGTCGCCGACCTGGTGGGCCACCAGGCGCGCCATCGTCCAGACATGCGGCCTCGTGATGGACCAGTTTCTCGCCCTTCCACATCCGCGTCCTGAGCTTGACAAGGTGCCCGCCCCTGTGCCGGCGCCCCTCGTCGAGGTGGCTCGCCGTGCTACGATCGCCGAGGAGCTGGCGGCCGCCCGAGCTGTTCCGCCCAGGAAGGCCAAGCGCCAGGCTGCGGCGATGCGCACCAGGGGTGGCCTCTACGACGACCGCCTCGACCAGCTGATCGGCCGCCGCCTGAGGCGCTGTGGCCTGGAGGCGCCCGCCGAGGAGCTCCGCGCGCGCTGGCTGGAGCTCCGCGCTGAACTGCGTGTGGCTCGCCCTTCGTGGCTATGGTCGCGGCTGCACACCGTGGTCAACGGATGGATCACGTCGTGCCTCTCGCTCGTGCATCATGGGTTGCGACGCGATGGGCGACCTGTCGCGCTACATGGACTGCGTGAGGCTTCGCAGCGCTGTCGCTGCCCCTGCGGAGCCGAATGAGCTGGGCTGCGGACTTGTTTTTCTATGGCTCGGTCACTCGCATGAGCATCGCGTGCGCCCGCGCATGACCTGAGTGAGAGCAGTGGCATTGGCCACGCAACTCTTCCATATTCTGAAGTGGCGGGCTGACAGCAGCATGCCCATCCATGATGACGCGATTGCGGCCGCACGCATCGCAGCTTTACACCGTATTCAGGCCTAGAGTGGCATCGCACGCACTTGCTTGCCGAGCTTCGTGCCCTCCTCCTCCCCCTCCTCCCTCCTCCCTCCTCCTCCTCCTCCTCCTCCTCCTCCTCCTCCTCCTCCTCCTCCTCCTCCTCCTCCTCCTCTCCCTCCTCCCTCCTCCATCCCCCCTCCTCCTTGCAGGGGGGATCCAGTCCTCGGGGCATCCACGCAGCGCTTGAGGGACTCAGGATGAGGGCCAAGTCACAGCCCCAGTCCTGCGACCAACGCCGAGGGACTTTCTTACAGGTCGTGGGCAAGTACAAGCATTGTGGTGAATTGCGACCTTCCTCTGTTGTCAAGGCTCTGCATTGGATGCTGCCGGTCTCTCATTCCAGTTCGTCGGCGTTTACACGGGAATCAACTATACCTATGTCCGTAAGGGCTTCGCCCCATGCCGCCGGCCCCCTGTCTCGAATAATGGGAGAGACAAAAGCTAAGTCATGAAGTCTGGGCGCCGCCGTGAAGCAGTGTCGGGACCTGTTTGTTTTTTCGACCCTGACCCTACGGATCTGCATGAGGGGTGCCACCGGATTTCAGAAATGTGGCTAATCCCCTGTGTTTGTGGACCCTGACCCTACGGATCTGCGTGAGGGGTGCCAGCGGATTTCAGACATGTGGCAAATCTGTTGTGTTTTTGGACCCTGCCCTGTCGATCCGCTTGAGGGGGGCCACCGAATTTCAGACGTGTGGCAAATCCCCTGCGTTTTTTTGGAACCTGACCTTACGGATCTGCATGACGGGTGCCGCCATATTTCAAACATGTAGCAAACCCGCTATGTTTTTGGACCCTGACCCTGTAGATCCGCGTGAGGGGTGTCGCCGAATTTCGAAAATATTGAAAATCCCGTACGTTTTTGGACGCTGACCCCGCCGATCTGCGTGAGGGGTGCCAGCTGATTTCAGACATGTGGCAAATCCTATGTTTTTGGACCCTGACCCCGCCGATCTGCGTGAGGGGTGTTACCGAATGTCAGACATGTTGCAAATCCCATATGTTTTTGGAACCTGACCCCGCCGGTCTGCGTGAGGGGTGTAAACAAATTTCAGAAATGTTGCAAATGCCATTTTTTTTGGACCCTGACCCCGGCCCGCCGATCTGCGTGAGGGGTGCCAGGGAATTTCAGAAATGTCGCAAATCCCTTGTGTTGTTGGACCCTGACCCCGCCGATCTGCGTGAGGGGTGAAAATTTTTACCTACCCCAGCAATTCAGAGCACACGCTCAGGGCGTGCTAAACCTGCTCGTTTGGGCCTACCCCCCCTCGCGCGGTCCATCAACAAGGGACAATAAGCAGCAAGAAGCAGAACTGTAACAGTGGAAACTGGATGCTGCAACTGGTGCAGGAAACTGCGAACCTTCGGCCTACAGCCTGGTGGCCCCATAAGTGGGCCGGCGGATAATGTACCTGCAAATGTATGGACCGCGCCCCTTCTCTCACACTTACTCTCTCTCTCTCTCTTTTTTTCTCTCTCTCTCTCTAACTATCTTTTTCTCTCTTGCACTCCCTCCCCCCCGCTCTCTCTCTCTGCGTTCTATATCTATATCTATATCTATATATATCATATCCTTACTTTTACATTTCAACTTCCCCCGATGCGTATACCTTTATGTGAGGAGATGTACGTGTGTAGTCATTGTTATAGTTATCTATGTACACGCTCGCGTAGGCGAGACGTGCATATATGTATACCTGCGTATCGGTCTCCTTCGTTTATGTTCTCACGCGCATGCATAGGTACCCACTATTCCGCAATACGATGTTAAACGTAGTCCTCCATGCATGTGTGTATACACAAGTATTAATGTACTGCCAACAACTGCACAACACGTGATCGGCGAACATGTATGCTTCTAAGACTGAGTGTGAACACAAGTATTGTGAGCTGAGCCTGACACGGCCCACATATACATATACATTCGTGACCGTGTAATGATCCCGGGCAAATCATTAAGAACACCCCCAGGGTTATCAGTAGCACCTGACCGCGATGTCTGTTGCACCGCGCCAAGAAGCAAACACACGTCATCCTCCAATTCCCCCCCCACAACCGATTCTATAGTAAGGATTGGCAACAAAAACGCAAGGGCCTTGACATTCTGTCCGCAAATTTGCAAGAGCTTCACGGATTGAGGGCGGCTCGTTTTCAAAATGTGGTTCTCGCCTGAGCGCCGCGCGCATCCGTTTTATACATATAATGGGGGACCGGGTCCGGGGGCGGGGGGCCTGGACCCCGACCGCAAATGTGGGGCCCGGAGCGCCGGGGGCCGTCCAAGATCGCCCGACGATGGCTTCGGAACGCTCGAAAATGCGCTCCGATGGCTCCGGATGCCTTTCCAGACGACTTCCTTGACGCCAAGAAGGCACCCGAAGGCCCCGAAGACGCCCCAAGAGGCACCCCAATAGTACCCCAATAAACAAGAATCGTCGATTTCCTATAGGAAGCTGCTCTTTTTGGCGTGTTCGCCTTCTGGGCTTCCACTGCGTCCAAGACGGCCCAAGAGGCACCCAAGACGGTCGAGGATGCCCCCAAGAGGGCCCCAAGACGGCCCACGAGGGGGCCAAGACGGCCCACGAGGCGTCCAAACCGCCCAAGAACGCCCCAAGGCGGCGCCCAAGACAGGACGAGGAACTGGAAATTCGCGCCTTTTGGCCCAAGCGATCCCCATGAGACCCCAAGAGGCTTCAAGAAGCGCCCAAGAAGCCCCAAGAGGCCCCCATGAGACCCGGAAAACACCAAGAGAGGGCCCGAAGGCGCCCCAAGAGGCACCCCAATAGAGCCCCAGATAAGCAAAAATCGCTGATTTCCTGTAGGAAGCTGCTCTTTTTGGCGTGTTCGCCTTTTGGGCTTCCACTGCGTCCAAGACGGCCCAAGAGGCACCCGAGACGGTCGAGGATGCCCCCAAGAGGGCCCCAAGTCGGCCCACGAGGGCCAAGACGGCCCACGAGACGCCTGAACCGCCCAAGAACGCCCCCCAGGAGCCCAAGAGGCGTTTCCGGGGAGCCTTCACAGCGCCGCAGGAGGGCCCAAGACGCCTCCCAGGAGCCTCCAGAATGCGAAAGGATGGCCCAAGGCGCTCCCAAGCAGCCCAAGTCAGCTTTCCGACCGCTCTCGAGGTTCCCAGGTGGCCTCCAAGAGACCCCACGAGAGATCCGAGAGGCGTCCGGGGACGGCCCTTCTTTCAATGTTTTTGGTTTCTCGCGCTTTAGGCTCCCAAGACCACTCGAGAGAGAGGCGCCTTTTTTCTGCTGTTTTTCGCCTTCTGGCGTTTTCCCGTTTCTTACCCTCGAAGATCGAGTTTTTTTTTTTTTTTTTTTTTTTTTTTTTTTTGGAAAATGGGATTCCCAGATTTTTTTTTTTGTCAAAGTGGAACTCCGACTCGGAGATCCCACACATCCCCTGACATCTGGCCTGTACCGCGCCTCCCGGCTTCCCAGGGGGGGGCCCGAGACGCCCAAGGACAGCCCAAGACGAGCCCAAGGAGCCCCCAGAACGAAAATAACGGCCCAACACGCTCCCGCGCAGCCCGAGACACCCTTTCGACGGCTCTCCAGAACCCCCAGGGGGTCCGGAAGATCCCACACCCGTGAGGGGCCCGGCTAACAAAACCCGCGAGGCACAAACAACAAACAGCGCCGAACAGCGCCGAGGAACTGGACAAAAATTGGATTCCACATTTTTCTTTGTTCCCAACCATCCTGTGGTGTTGGGTCCTCGTTTTGAAGAGACGTCGCCCCGCGTTCCTCCTCTCCTCCTCCTCCCCCTCCTCCCCCCTCCTCCCTGCGTTTCACCCACCCAGTACAGCGTGTCGTGGCCCCATAGGGAGCTCTACCGAAGGCTCCAGTGGCTGCGTTCGCATGGTGGCCCCGCCCCATTTTGGCGCACCCCTCACGGGGATCGTGGCCCCATAGGGAGCTCCGCCGAAGGCTCCAGTGGCTGCGTTCGCATGTGGGTCCCGCCCCATTTCGGCACACCCCTCACGAGGATCGTGGCCCCATAGGGAGCTCCACCGAAGGCCCCAGTGGCTGCGTTCGCATGTGGGCGCCGCCCCATTTCGGCGCACCCCTCACGAGGATCGTGGCCCCATAGGGAGCTCCACCGAAGGCTCCAGTGGCTGCGTTCGCATGTGGGCCCCGCCCCGTTTCGGCACACCCCTCGGGAGGATCGTGGCCCCATAGGGAGTTCCACCGAAGGCCCCAGTGGCTGCGTTCGCATGTGGGCCCCGCCCCATTTTGGCGCACCCCTCACGAGGATCGTGGCCCCATAGGGAGCTCCACCGAAGGCCCAGTGGCTGCGTTCGCATGGCGGCCCCGCCCCATTTCGGCGCACCCCTCACGAGGATCGTGGCCCCATAGGGAGCTCCACCGAGCCCCAGTGGCAGCGTTCGCATGGCGGCCCCGGGCCATTTCGGCACACCCCTCATGAGGATCGTGGTCCCATAGGGAGCTCCACCGACGGCCCCAGTGGCAGCGTTCGCATGGCGGCCCCGGGCCATTTCGGCACACCCCTCACGAGGATCGTGGCCCCATAGGGAGCTCCACCGAAGGCCCCAGTGGCAGGGTTCGCATGGCGGCCCCGCCCCATTTTGGCCCCCATAGGGAGCTCCACCGAAGGCCCCAGTGGCAGCGTTCGCATGGCGGCCCCGGGCCATTTCGGCACACCCCTCACGAGGATCGTGGCCCTATAGGGAGCTCCACCGAAGGCCCCAGTGGCAGGGTTCGCATGGCGGCCTCGCTCACGAGGATCGTGGCCCCATAGGGAGCTCCACCGAAGGCCC